GGAAGAACGAGGAATGCTATAGAAAAGATGGAGAAAGAGAGAAGAATGAAAGCAATTTCGAGCAGATTAGAGAGAAGGAGAAAAAGAGAAAGGTCAAATTGGGATATGGCTGAAAGAAAAAACGCGCAGAAAAAGGCAAAGCGAATTATGTTTGAGAACATAACAAGAAAGAAGCTTGCATAGAGGCAGAACAATGGAATTAGAACACGCGCGAGTTACATCGGACTCCGAGATGATGATCCGCCATTGAAAACCGGTGACTACATTACTCGTTTTAATCAACTTTGTAAAAATAGTTCTGCGGGTTATTAGGCCGAGTCTGATATCGCAGAAGAAAAGTTAGTCAATCAGTTAGTCAGTTTTGCATTTCTACGCTTTAATATTTCTTTAATCAGCTGATTCAGTTGAAGAGCGAATGTCATTATTTTTTCCTATGATTCATTAAAATTATATTTTTAGCAGCAGCGAAATGTGTTTTAATACTGACTAAAGCAAATAATAAGCAAATAATAAAATTTGTAAATAATAGTTGGCTCTTTATTTAAATATTAGAGATATTTTTCGGGAATTTAAACGTCCTCTCATTTGCAGATTAAAGCAATATTATGATAAATGAAAGCATGAAAATAAAATCTATTTTTTACTATATTTGTAACTAAAATATGTTTATCGATTTTTACCTTGTTAAATATCTACAACGTGTAAATAATTGCTTCAGTTTATACACACATTAACAACTTAATTTACAGAGACTGTTATTATATATATAATTGCTGTTATATTTTACGATTGATACGAAAACAAGTGTATTTTACATATTTCAGTTAATTAATTTTAATTAATTTTATCGTTACTATTAATTCACAACAGCATGAAAGATATTTGTGTATAATACTTACACATTTCAGAATTTTTACACATAAATACACAATTTCTCTTTCATATTTTCTGTTTTATAATTTTATTAAATATGATAACAAATTAGTATATTTTTTCGAAAGTCAGTCTTTCACGCGAAAAGCAAACTCTGAAAATTTTCTTGACAAATTCAATATAAATATACGTTTGCTTTTAACTCTCTAGTGCGTCCTTAGTCAATTATAATTGTCTTATTAAATGGTTGAAGGAGACGCGCAGAACAAAGTAATAACACTTGGCAAATGTAATTATTCATTAAGTAAAATGCTACTTTCGCAGACACGACAATCGTAATTTTACTAATAATCTGTGAGATGTCACAGTAATAGACACATCGAGAGCGAGACATGCCCGCGGGTTCCCAGACACTTTTATTACTACGTGTGAATTAGCGCGTTGCATTCATTCGAAACGATTTTTCGGCCGGCGCCGCGCAATTCATCTCGCAAAAGGGTCAAAGAGGCAATTCCCCCGGCACGGAAAGGTCTTCCTAGCATAATTAAATCCGGGGAAATTTGCGAAGTCATACGATTTCTTCGCGTACCGGCGAAACGTTAGTGAGAGGACAGAGAAGGAGAAACTTTGGCACGCGGTAGATGAAATTTTCTGGCGTTTTGATCAAAGGGCTTGGCCGAGAATTGCAATGTGCGGCGGCTATGCCGCATCTCTGGAAATGTCGAGACTCTAACGAGACTCTTCGTAATCGGGCTACGTGTTTTGAATTCGAAGAAAAAAAACGATTGCACGTCCTGCCTAGCGTCGTGTAAACTTTCTAAGGCAATTTACAGCCTAGAAAATTGAATTATTTCTCCACGCCGCCTATACTTTATGCAAAAAAGAAATGCATGCGTTTTGATTGAATTATTTGGATAAATACTTCCTAAGCTTAAGGCTATAGTTGTTAAAAAAAAATTCTCAACAATATTTAAAACATGTAGAAGTTACATGGTGTAATGTAATAATAAAAATAATACAAAAAATATGTACAAAATATAAAAAAAATATAGAAATATCGAAATTTTAATTTTAATAAATATATATAAAGATTCTATTTAAAAAGAAAATGGATTACAAGTTGCGATAACAAAAAAATAAAAATAAAAATAATAATAAATAATAATAAAAATAAAAATAATTTATTATAAAAGAAGAAAAAAGAGATCTTCTAATGGTTTTGATGATAGATTCGAAGGTTCGAAAACTATCGGCTGAAAAGCCGATGCGATCCTCAGATCTCGACTTGCCAAGTTAAATACCTTTATAGCCCCGATAGAAACAACAACCAATGATCAAGGTCTGTTCTCGGTCTATCTCTCGTGAAATCGAACTGTTGCGGTACATTCCGGTCGAGCCGAAATGGAAACTATTTTGCTGCACAGCTCGAAGGAAGAAATACCCCGGTACCGCACAATGGTCTATTTTCACGATCGTTAAAGAGACGGAAAATTCTCAGGCTGCTTTTCACGGAGCTTGGAGGAGCGGTGAATTTATTCCCGCCGAACCGAGATGTCTCGGTGCGAGTGATGTCTCGATAAATTTTCGACAAAGCGATACACCGATGGCGACGGCAGTGTTGAAGCGCACCTCGGAAATCTCGGTCCCGACGTGGGGAGAAGAAAAAAAATTACCGTTTTATTCAATATCGCGTAAGGAACTCGCTCGCGAGAAGCGGGAGGCGCTTATCGGTGAACGATGCTAGGCGAGGCGACTCGACGCGATCGGAAAACGTTTGCTTACACGCGAACATCGCCTTTCGTATCACTTTAATGGCATTCTTAATAGCCGTAGGAGAGTTCCGAAGTTGATGCAATCTCAATTTCCCGGTTCCTGCGCTTGATATATCAGTGATTTTCCACCTTTGCGTTATCGTCCGGAAAGTTCCCCGAGTCATGCGGCGGTTCCGGAGCGGTTGCTCTCGCCTAATAACTGTCTTCTGCCCAGCGCAAACTGGTCCGCGTGCACGCGATTCCATCCACACATGAATATAAGACTAAAGACGAATAGGACTATTATACGTGAGACGCCTTATGCAAGTGAAATGTCAAGAAAAATCATACGTCATGATTTCCTAAACTTCAAAGTGCGAGTCCAAGATATTTCGAATGAAAAGATTTAATAAATTCATTTTTAAATTGTGTGAATAACAAATAATATTTTATCATTATTTTCTTTATTTTTTTATTCATTTGTATTTATTTCTTTTGATTAAAGATAATTTGTCTTAATTATCTTAATTTTTATCTCGTAATTATTATTATCTTAATTATTATTATTATCTTAATTCTTCTCATAATTTCTTCTAATTAAAGAACATAATTTGTTTTAAAAATTTTTAATATTTCTAATTACATACCTTACACGTATAGCTCAGAAGCTATTATATATTTTTATATATTATTTAAAATTCCCGAGAGTCATCGAGTATAAGTAAAATCAACTCAGCAGATGAGAAACTTTAAAGATAACTTTATAGTATAATGATATAATGCTATTAGAGAGAGAGAGAGAGAGAATTTTCGCTCAAGGTTACTCATGCGAGATTCCTAATCGCGTGATTGATGTAATTTTCTAACGGAACGACATGCCTATCCGGCTATGAATACAGCTTTCAAATAATTACGTGCTACGAGAGAAGCGGAGAGAGATGAAGTGCATTGCTTCTTACTAAATTGAACAGTTATGTATGTTTAAGATACGTTTAACTTAATCGTAATCATCTTTTATTTGAAAAGTCCCTATAAAGTTACACGAAATATTATTGAAATATCGATTATAATATTACTTTAAAAATAAAATAAAATAAAACAATTATATTTTATTTATTAATCGTGTAAGATAAATTACTTTATATATATTTTTTCTGAACTAAGCACATATATAAAATCACTGTCCGATAAAATTGTCCGACAAAATCAATTACTTTAAAGTATATATATATTCTTCCTTTACTAAGCACAATATAAAATCACTGTCCGATAAAATTGAATCCTATAAAAATGACAGCAATTTATATCAAGAGGCACTCGTAGCTCTTTGACACCTACCAGGCAGGTGGCTTTGATTTGATCCGCGAACAAAATGGGAAATGACATTACGATCGACAACTTTTAATGAAGTTCAAGGATATCGGCGATTTTTCATGTACTCTTTCGGGGCGCATATAGCGTTTCACTTCGGGAAACTACATCGCTCGTTACGCCTGCCGATATGTTTGTTCGTGTGTAACGTTGATCGCCTGCAGGATGCGGCGGTCCCATCCAGCTCCCTGACGGGACAACTGATGCGTTTCCAATACGGTTGCCTAACAGCGGTCCTCGATGCTGGCAAGACGAGATCGTAGATCGCAAAGTATACCGGATAGCGATTACGTATTTTTTCTTATGGAAAGAAACTATCTCTCCTCGACTTTAAATAAGTAAAATAGACCGACGATGTAAGAGAGATATCTCTCTCTTTTTACATGTTCCATCTAAATTTATAGTTAGCATCACGTGAATCTTTCTCCTGTTTTCCCTCTTTCAATGTTAATAAAAATATATTTCTTTATACTTTTTTTCGCAAATATACATCGCGCTATTATTAACAACCTTCTTAAAAATCTACATCTGATTCAGTTTTTTAATCTTGATGATTAGATGCAATTTAACATTGCCTTTAATTGAATAATAAATATATAATTGTTATTATTATGTAATAATATAAATTTATCCGATTTCGCGCGAATAAAATAATATTATTAATACAAAACAATGCGCAACGTTTTGTAAAGAAAATTAGTATTATTTATCTTCACAAACGCGCGGTTAAAAAAGGGGAATTTCGTAAGGAACGTCTTTACAAAACCATACTACAACATGCCCTTTGTAATCCGGTTAACGAATAATTGAGGAAACTCTGTTTGTTAGTAAAGGACGGTGAATTCCGACCGCTGGGAAAACACGCTCCAAGAGCGAAGGAGAAAATTACAGGGATAAGGAAAACCGGTTGTCTGCGCGAAAATAAGAAAGTAGACGGTTTAGTTTAAATCGCACGCTGCCGCGAGATCCCTTTGGCTAGACACATTTAAAAATTCAATGCGTTACCTTGTAACTTCCGAGATTTTCGATGACGCAGGGTAGACTGACGTCCCTTCCCAGCGCCACTGTGACATTTGGTATCGGCTCGGCAAAGATCGGCGGATCGGAGAGCGCTGTAACATAAAAAAAAGGATGTTAATTATACTTGTGAACAACAATTAATCTTTAATCTGGACAGCTGTTTGTAACTTTTATCTACGGATCGCGAATCACAATTAAATCGCAATTAACTCTGATCGATATTTGCGAAAACATTTTTGCGTTAATTAAATTCCTAATTATTTCTATTGCTGGAAACAATTGTTTATATTTGAATAATCTCCCCCCATTATTAGCCCGACGCAATTCACACGCGATATCTCGTGAAATAATTAACGACCAGCTGCCTAAATAGTTTGAGTCAATTCACGCGTCGGCGTTTAACGGATATAAAAATATCATAGACGGCGTGAATAAAACGATAATTATGTCTGATCGAATCCTCCCGAGGGCTGGGGAGGAAATCCCCCGCGTTCGCGGTCGACTCGTGAATTTTTCATCCTCGAACGGGCGGACTGTCCTGCCGAATTGCACCGATAAACGAGATTCCAAGATAAATTAGCGAGAATCGATTTATTCGGGGCTCAACCATCGCGTCCGCGTGATATCGCACCGATACGAGCGAAACTAGCCATTTTTTTCCCAGCCTTGACAGACCCGGATTCTCGCGAACGAAATTAAATCACGACATTTTTTAAGCCATTGGCTACGATTGTCACAATGCACCGGCTGCAATTTGCATTATTTGCATACAAGCCCGAGAGACAAATTATTTTAATTACGTCACTCGCAATTTTTACTGTCTTGTACCTTTTCTTTATTTCATCGCGGCTCGATTATTCGATTTCCGTAGAAAAAAAATCGGTATACGGTATCGGCATCAAATGAACAGATTAATTATATGCGGTCGGACAAATTGATTTTGCTGATTTTTACGCCGTAAAGAATGTAATTTCATTAACAGATCGCGTTTCGCAATTATGCATACAAATGATATATCTGAATAGATACGTATCTGAATGGAATGCTATAAAGTGGAATGCAACGTATTTACGTATGAAAATGCGCGTATTGTTATATTTTGTTACTACTGTTATATTTTTATACTGTATATTTTGTTAAAAGTCGAGAGTAATTTAATCGTTGCATCCATTGTCAAAAAAAAGATCAAAATTGCTATTTGACTTTCACGCGGGCGATAGAGACAAAAGTGGTCAATTTAAATTATCGTAGCTACAAATAATGCATTCGTCAATTTTTACATTTTCTTAATTACAAACGACATTTATTTATTTTTAAACATTTTTTTAAATTGTGAATTTAAATTGTCTTAGCTACAAATAACGCATTCGTTAATTTTTACATTTTCTTAATTACAAACATTTATTTATTTTTATAAAAATGGTCAATTTAAATTATCTTAGCTACAAATAAAAGATTTATTTCATATATTACGTTACCGAATCTTACGCGATATTCATGGAATATTTCGGAATGCTTATTCTGCTCATTTACGTTTGAGTTTTTACAAATGCGTACACCTGAAACACGATCAATTATCATGCAGACAGGAGCATCACGGAATTTGAGTTTAAATTTATACAGCGGTGATACTCCCCTCCCACGTTCACCTCGTTTAAAGCCGAACCAAACGCATATATATGTATCGTTGCAGTCGCAGAGACTGAAAGTGTGCTTGTACAGAATATATTAAATGTAAAATATTTTTATCATTATTATTCCCGTTGTGCCGCGTGCGTTGGAATATTCAACCGACGCTACCGGATAATCCTTCATATTCTTTCACACTTTACATGCAATAGTAAAAACCGCAAGGTATTTGTATTTAAACAGCGTAGTCATCGGGACGCATCATGTATGAGCTAAAATTTAAATAGCGTCGCAAATCGCGGCGAATGGCGGAAAAAATTCACCAGCTGCTTGACAAACACGTCACGCTTCTGATTTTTATTTTAATAAACGTCAGTGTCTCGACACTTCGACATTCGTCAAAGGATATTTCATTGAGCACGTGAAAAAAATCAAGAGAGATTTATGGTGAAATCATATAAAACATAGAATATATATGCAAATGTTCACATGATGTTCACAATACGTAGTTTAATTTTGAAACTTTAATACACACACGAAACGCGGATGCATGTGCGATACTATATAGCTAAAATAAATTAATTTAAAAATTTTTTCAAACGTAATATTTAATAATCACTTTTTTCCTTTGCTTCTCGCTTTTTCAATGAATTATTTTGAATAAAAAGAAACTGCTGTAATAATTTAGCATTATTTTTGCATAAATAAAGATAATATTCGAAAAACTATTGATACGGTAAAACGACCGTTTACAATATCCGAGTGAAACATATATCGCCTGAGGAAAATCAAAGGTGCTGAAAGAAGAGGGACGAGAGACGGGATGCGCGGGTGTCCGTGTCGATGGACTCATCCGAAAAAAGTTTCGGAAGTAATGCACTCGAGAGTGAAGTAGGAGGGCAGTTGGCTGGCCGCTCGACCGGAAGAAGGCAGCCGTCAATTCCGGTCCGGGAGACTTTGCGCTGACCGGAAGTCAGTGCACACTCGCATACACGAACGCGGCACGTACGACATTTTGGCGAAAACCCCGTCTCTCCTGACACTGGATCTCGATTCCATTCTCGTATTTCCCGAGAAACGATTCGCACAATAGATATTTACTTTGAATCAATATCTGTCAGTCTAAAATATCCTTCCCGCATACAAAATATTATATTGTATGTTCCGTTGGAATTTTAATCTAATTTTTTAATAAAATTAATAATCTAATAAAATAAATAATAATAAAATAAATAATAAAATGATAATAAATAAATTAATAAGCTAATAAAATTAATAATCTATCATATCTATAATAAATCATATCTAAAATAAAAATCTTTTTTAAGAAAATAGTTTATAATAATAGTTTAGCATATTTTTAACCAAAATTATTTATATCTAAAGATTCTCAACGTTTAATATATATTAGAGGAGAGCAATTCATTAAATAAAATAATAAAACATGTTATATACGTATAGTGGCTAATGTTATCTTTTTTATTGAATTATTCTAGTATTATAAAATTATAGAATGAGATTTAAAAGTGTATGTCTAATATATATTCTGATATTAATAAATATTTTTATTATAATAAAAAAAAAGTCAAATATAAAATCAAATAAAAGAAAGATTTTTTAAGAAAAGCTATATTATATCTTCAATTAAAAATTTATGTGTTTTCGCCTCATTTCTCCTACATTTCATATATTTATTAATTTTTTGTATTTCTCAATCTAGAAAAACAGAGTAAAAGTTAAAAATCAATGAAAACACTTATACAATCAACTTGCGGAAACGTTATGCATCGTCGCCGCCGTATTTTTTTCTCGAGTAACGTTCTAGAGCGAAAGAAATTAATAAAAGTATATAGAGAGTGTTCTGGGAAAATGTAATATAAATTATATCTCAGTACGGATAAAGTTCTCGGAAGCTTCACGCGTCTCCGGTAGCAAGATACGTCAACGACTAGCTTTATAGTGCGGTAGCCAGGAGAATTCCCAGGAGGACTTCCGGATGGAAGACTATGGTAAGGTCGAGTTCCGAATTCAAATTATTATATTTAGCTCGAGAGAGACAAATTATCTTGGCCTTTCTGGTGCCAAAAGGTTGGATAATACCTCAAATGCTCTATATTGCACGAGTAATTTAAGCAACAAAATTATTAAAGTTACCAATTAAAAAGCTAACACTTTTGCGCGAATACATCGACTAAAATGTTGATGTTCTATTTATTTGTAATATTTTAAATAGTGAATAAGACGCTGTTGAGACTCCTCTAAGTGAAATAAATAGCAATAACAGAATCACAAATATGTATGAATATATTTTAATCGATAAAAACTCATTCAATAATTTAATTTATTAATGATTGTTGTTAAAAAACAATGCGTTAAATTCTCTTATCATTATAACAAATAAAAAATAATTATTAACTTTCATCATTAATTTTTAATTAATACGTTTAATATTTGAATATTAAAAATATTATTTAATCAACACTTTCTATCAATCAATTATAGATCACTATTGATTTCTGGTCTTTCAGTTATTAAGTATTTCATTTATAAATCCCAACATTCAAAGAAAAAAATATTCTTTTTAATACTCTTTTACTCTGTTTTATCCAACATGTTATACGGAAACGGTCGTTCAGCTCAAGTTATAAAAGTCTTTAAGAGAGAGTTTATGATTGAAAGATATAAACACCAATCTTGTTTTATACAAAGTTATGCCAAGAATGTTTTTCTTGAAGAAAATCTCGTAATCATCATAATTTTTAAAGCAAGCAAATTTCAATTTCCATAATGACGCATCGTAAAACATATACTGAACAATAACATAACACTGAACAATAAATTTTATGTATTTCCAATATTGAAGGTTATTGTATACATCGTTATCGCTAAATTAAAGAAATTTGAGGAATATATATGCTGAAAAAATAATTGTCATTAAATTTCCGAGAGGAGAGAAATTCAATCAATATTGTTTTCTAGATTGACACATTTACATACATTTACATGCATACTTAATAAAAGCTAATAATATTCCAGCAAAAAATTGAATAACAAATAAAATGGTATCACAACGTGCACTATATAATAATACACATGAAAAGTTATTATAATTTCATTATTTAATAAAAATTTAGTAATTAATTTATCCACATTAGTTTTTAATTTGCATATCCATATTTATTCCTATCAAGCCTAAACAGATTATTTTTGTGCTACACGAGCTGCATGTTATACTATTATTGTATGTAATTTGCACATTGCACATGTAAATATAATTGTTAATTATTTATTAAAATACATCCGTCATTTTAATCAATTTTTTAATTCTAATGGATTAATACCTTGTTCTTAAAAAAAATTTATAATACATATAGTATGGTTACCTATAGTTCCTACATAATAATGAAATATGCTATACGTGATAAACACATCGTTATCGCATATATTATAGCGCGTAACATCC